GTTTAAAATCAATATCGACCGTTATAAGCCAGAAGAGTAACCAACGCCCTTAGATTTAAAGGAACAAAGGTCAGTCTGTACATATCTTTACACGTGACAATGACAGTCATCTTCTGACTTATTACATCCCTTTATATATATTTATGTATATAACATCAACTACACCTAAGCGCTGCATAGTACTTTATAAACCCGTGATGCCCTGGAATGATGGCACAGACTGTTCGCCGCGGTGAGTTCGTATTCAGATTTATGTACAATTATTTTTTTCACAGTGGCCTGATTTACGGTTCTGTCTTTTCACAACGATAAATTTTCAGTTAATGGGATTACCTTAACTTTTTAATAAACTGTTTGAAAGTCATATAGTTGTTTACAGCGAATCTTGATGCGTATTCGTCACCTAGATGGAAGCGGAAGACTCGGTGTCTAAAAAACGCTGACATTTTGTGACGGTGTACCCACTTCCAGAGTTTCTTTCACATCGAGAGGAGAAAACATGATCTTTCTCACAGGGTAGCAAAAGTACGCATACAGGACTTACTATAGATCGTTCAGCTGTAGCACCCTTCCGGTGCCCAACTGCCATGCCGCAAGAAGGAACATGAGGGCTGGAATACTGCCAGGTTGCCCAAGCCTAGACAGAGGAAGTCGAGAGATAGAGGTCGGGTTCGAACCACGAACCTTCCGGTCAGTAAATCTGCGCTCCAATCACTTGGGTCATCTCGACCCTGGACCATTACACTGGCACAAAAGTCTGTTTGTCTGTGTCTACCATATATAGTTCATACGGTCCGTAATTTGTTCACGCAGAGATTGAAACGTGGCCCTTTGGCGTATAATCTTTAACAGCCGACCGTAACATCAGATATCGCTTAAAGAATCATCTGCCTTGCCAAGTGATCATAAATTTACCCGCCCGTGTGTAACTCGCCAGATCGGCTGAACAACGCGTCCAGTGTTCGAACAAAAAAGTAAAATGTTCCATTATGGGCAGTGGGTTCTACTGAAGCTGTTACAAGCATAAGCTAGGTCTTTGCTTTCAAAAGTATTCTGCTCATTTGCCAATTTTTACTGGTACGGACAACGTGTTAGTGAGTGGAATCAGCTGAGCATTCAAAGTGAACCTTACATGATATCTACCTAAATGCCGCCATCAATCAATACCTACTGTGGATCCTTCGTCTTTGTCATTTTGATTGGCTGAACTAGTTTATATTGATAGTCTATATATATATATATNTATATGTGCATATATATGACCCATTCAACCCTGCACTGACGATGTCACCTGGATTAGTGATGAAACGTTTGCAATCCAGCTGCCAAGGTCGGCGATCAGACCAACAACCAAGCTTAGGATTCCCTTTTACCTTTCTCGGGGCCCATCAGGTTGGTGATGTGGGAACTGGAAAACGCAACGGCTGATTGGTTGTTGGTCTGTTCACCGAGCTTGGCAGTTGGACCCCAATCATCTTCGCACTGATGATGTCACCTCGATTGGTGATGAAACGTTTGCAATCCAGCTGCCAAGGTCGGCGATCAGACCAACAACCAAGCAGCGCACTCAAGCTACGTACATTCCACAACATTGCTAGTAGTCCATAGATAGATAGTTCCAAGAATGAAAAAAGTGAGTGGATTTAGCCGCTCAAGTGTATGCCGTCAACTTGAAATAGTTTGCTCATAGCCTAATAAATAATGGGATTCCCGTAAAAGATCAAGGAAAGGATAAATAAAGACACAGTATCCATACTTCTTACCCCAAAAGGTAGCATTATATTAAGGCCACTACCCGCTGGAGGTTCATTTCGATGGGTTTTCAGAAGTTGAGGAACGCTCTGAAATAGAGCACGAGGATGATTAAGGAACTTGATTTATTGAAACACCAGGAAACAGCTATTGGCATCACCGCCCTCGACGACCAGCTTTCCCTAGAATCCACTCTTTACCATTATGTTTACTTGGTGTTCATTGCAGGAAAACACGCCGGTAAAATGCGAAGAATAAAATTGTGGCCCATAAAATAAACCAATCAGTTTTGATTTTTTTAGACCGCCAAACAAAAACGAATTATGGTTCCTGAAGTGAGGTTATATACGTTCTACCACTGCAAAGATACCACCCTCGGCTTTAGATGTCAGCGCTTTTGTTAAACAGTTTCCCATGATGGATGTTTCTCCCAAACGTTTGGTCTCCCATGAAATTACGTTCCAATGGATTCAAGTGCTTGTATAGAAATATTCCTTATGGTACTCGTCATAAAATGGACTGTAGAGAGAATAAAAGTAGAACGAATCAAAGCGCGCTGTTCTATCCAATCACTGTAGTTTACCCTGCTTGCATTTAGCATTAAATTGTCTTAGTTCAAACGTTTATTTTTAACGCGCAAACGGCTAAATTCACACACAAGGAAACCTACCATGCATTTTTTAGATATCTGTTTTTTTCCTTAGCCTGACTCTGATTTTAAATTATGGGTAACATACGTAATTGCATGCGTAATTGCATATGACGGCATATATCTCCTCACATATATTATGAAACCGCTCGCAAATTCCAGCTCATAACCCTGTCGCACTAATTATTTATATCAACCAAACTTTGTGATCTGACTTGTGTAAAACAGGGCAAAATAGTTTCGCTTCCATATTTTTTGGGGGAGGGCGCCTTCGAGGTCAGAGCATGGGCAAAGTACAGACTATCTGGTTATGTCATGTGCTGAATAATTTATTTTTTACAAACAGCTCAGCATAATATCCTTCATAATGGAGGTTACATTCTCAACAGAATGTTTAGTGAATAAACCATCGCGAGTTTTATACTTGGCGAGGTTGACCAGTTTGTTTTTAGACCAAGATCTTGAGCCCAGTCCTAATAATCGAAGGCCATCCATCTCTAATTATGACCGGACATCAAGAGCTACCAAATTTTGTTGTTGCTTGCAATTAGTTGCCCGGTAAAGGAGGTTATACCGGGTATAATATCGGTCGAATTGATGTAATGGTTCCTGAAACCGCACGTCACTACCTGAAGTTAGAAACCTGACTGAAGCTAGTCATCGGTTCCCTTTTAATCTGGATCCCGTGGTACGTACTAGCCATGTATTTTTAAAGATGGCGAGCAAACCACCATCAAACGACTTCCAGAAGATTCTCTATGGCAATATTGTCAATATAGAGCTATTGAAACCTCTGTCGATATGTAAGCTACGCTTCACCAGTTAAAATGAACATGGTTCAAAAACCGATATGGCGAACCGATGATGCTCAATGGTTGTAGCACGAATTTACTGACCCGAAGGCACGTGGTTTGAATCTGACCTGTGCATCTCGACTTCTCTAGGCTTGGGCAACTTGGCAGTATCCCAGCTCTCGTGCTTTTTCGGGCAGCATGGAAGTTGGGCATCAAAGGGACGATTTTTCACAAATTTATGCAAAGAATATCGCACTAATCGGTATATGTTTTTTTACAAATACCAAATGCTACCTAGAGATATCGCATGCCATTCGGATGCATATATTGGAAGTTCCTGCGAGGACAGAACAAATGGTAGAAAAGAATACCCTCTACCTGACAGCCTTAAGAAGGAGCAATTAGTCAACTACGGTTTATGCTACAGCCCAGAACGTTGATATGTCACAAAATGCACCGTCTGAGTTAATAATCGCTGGTGGTAATTATATCACCAATGATTAACCTCGGGGGTTGGATTAATGAGTCTTAAAATCTTCAATTTCCAAGCATCCTGAATGACAGGAATTTCCCGTTTCTTTCTTTGGAGGTAACAATTCTTTGGTTGCCTGACTTTCGATGTTCCAAGTTGACTGAGACAAATAATTTATCATTGTGTCACCAAATGCGCATACTTTACTTTTGCTGTCGAATTCCCGCAAATAAATAAGCAAAATGCAGTTAGGCTAATAGACCAACACAATGGTCAGGCTGTACCAAAACATAGTGGGAAAGATTACTATGAACTGTGGCGACCATTGAACTTTACTAGCAGCCATAAGCAGGCCAATCCGGTTCCTATGGACGCACACAACGCTGCTGGGAAAGACACTCAGTTTTTAGGACTTTCGTGTTTAGCTGGTATCCTTCCATTAAATATGTCATCAATCTGCCTTATGTTGTTTAACTTCCTCTCTTCTCAGGATAATGAGATTAACCACACGACCATTTTTTGACATCATACTTAGTCAGCGTTGGTATACTCATGTTTTTCTTATTGTTGCCGCTGTATTTCTACCTACAAAAACGTTTAAAGAAGCCCGCCAAATCTTGATGTTTTTCGTCTAAGATACTACGTCATTTCCAACTTTTTCTAATTGACCAGAAATTTTACTTCATCCCCTTTGAAAAAAACTCACCAGCGACAAACAGCAGACACAAAGCTTCCAGCAACAAAAGTCCCTTCCTCGAACACATTTGGTGTTATCAGTACTCCGTGAAGACCATTTCGTCAACGCGTTGTTGTCAGTCGTTGAACAGGAATCAAATTCCGAATATCCGCCAGCCCAACACAGTAGTAACCTTACCGCAAAATCAAGCGCTGCGGTATGATGCGACAAGTGATAAAACTGGCACTTTGCTTAACATAAATCCACAGTGACTTTTGCTTGCGTCGTGGCCTTGGGTCAAAAGAAGAGAAAATTATCACAGACCAACATAGGAGCATTTACACACCGGCGTGTATGCTGTTGGTAACCGTTTGCCCATTCCCGCATCACAGTTATTCGGATGTGATAAGATGGGTAGTGCAAGTGCGTATGTGCGTGCGTGCGTGTGTGCGAGCTGAACCAACACAGGTGTGCAATAAACTTTGTGTAAGCCAAATGTCACATATCCCCTCGATTGGTCGAGGCCAGTGGCACCAAAGAGGATGTCTTTAACCTGACCAGAGCTTCTTCTGTTGTTTGTGTGCGTCAGTGGCTGACTGAAAAGGATTGTCGAAAACATACCGGACGATGCGCGAATATCTTTGCTATTAAGTTGCATTACCCTGAATTTTCCAAAAGCTTCTTAGAGTATCTATTCAACAATTTAATGTATAACTACCCACATCGTTCCCCTACTATGAAAAACCAGTCCAAAGATGTAAAGTGATCATTGTCCGGGACAAATGTAACAGGTTCACTCACAAACTGACTACTGGAATAGTTTTATTTGATCTTTTTGCATGTCAACCGTTTTATAGCTATTGCTTTGCCATGTTTCTTGACAAATATTTGCCTCGGTTTTCGATTGCTCCTAATAAGAATTCTGGCAATCAACCCCAGGATTTTGAATGTACCAAAAAGATTATAGTGTCAACCACTCGCAACCTGTCCAAATCCAGTTCACAAATCACAGCATATAGTGACAGACAACACTGGTCACAGTTTTTAACAGTTTATTGACCTCTAGTGTTTCGAACTTTTTAATGATAAGCATACTATCGTGATATAGCTGTAAGGCAGTCCAGTTTTCGTCTTCATTTCCGCGTAATCCGCGATGAAGACAGTGATGTGAAAAAAAATTTATACGGGCAAGTTGCTGGTTAAAAAACGGGTCATTTGTTTACAGCGATGCAGAGTAACTGTTTCATTCAAACAAGTGGTGGTCCAGAGTTAAGAATCACTGAACATCCGGCGCGCACGGGAAGGATCATCAAAGGTGTGTGCACCTTTATAAATGTCCCCAGGAATAACGTGAATCAAATAGATGACTTATTCACACGGGATCCTTATAGAAGTCTACAATATGACGGGAAGGATGTAAACAAAGGGTCAAGAGGCCGTCTGGATGCATCTCAGGGTCACCGTCATCACCAGCAACGTCAGTGTTAACACTGATGTATCACTGCCGTACAACCACAAGGTTTATCTAAACATGTTCACAACAAAAGAATGAAAAATGGAAAAATAGTGGGCAATGGAGGGGATCTGGTGCTAAAAAATCATAGGTGTTTCAGAGGGACTAAAGCTCCGAACACCCAATCAATCTGGAAAGAAACTAAATACACTAAAGCCACTGCAATCGATTTCCCGCTATTGCCTCAACCGCATCCAACCAAGACCATATCCCGGGAAGTTAACCTGCCAAGCCACAGGTGTTTGCCTCGCGGTTTGTGTTATTCCGAAGCAGGCATGGTGAACAAAACTCGTCTTGGTAGACCGCATTAGTAGCCGATGACCGAGCCACCGTAGCTTACGGTGCTGGATGATTTCCATGCTTGAAGTACCTTCACATAACACGTAACACGTTTTCTCAATGGCATCGTTTACGCCATCAACGTTCCCAAGGCATAGGTGGGTAAAATCCGGAAAACGCCCCGCATCATTTGTCAGCAGAACCCATGTTTCTAAACAATATCGTAGTACAGCTCTTACTATAGTCTGGTACACGCTACCCTAGAGACCCAGTATTATGCAGTCGCCATAAACAGACTCAATATTATGCAGTTTTGACGCCATAAACCAACGAAAGTTGTTCGAGTCTTTGAGATGCCTACACTGACTTCATCACGCACACTCCTGTCATAGCTCGTACAACTTCCGAGATATATACTATTCTCCATAACCTCCAAGGATACTTCTGGAAGTGTAGGAGGTGTGTTCAGAGACAGTGTGTTCTAAAGCACGACGTTGCCGCATGCCGAAACGTGATACGATGGTGGTCACTTTATTCAACAGACTTGTGCTTACTTTTTGTCTCCAAATATAAAGATGAGCTCGTGTGCGCACTACAGGTCAAAATCTTCACGGGATTGCAAAACTGGACACTGGACTTTTGAAGAACTTTCAGCGCTCGCCACACTACCTAATGGGTGACGGAGTAGAACAGGAATGGGAGTAGTGATAACCTTGCCGGACACCACTTTTTGTAGGAAAGCTTTTAGAAATCCGATCATACACTTTCACTCGCCCAGAAATCTTTGAATACGGGGTCCACTAGATTTCCAATGGCTAAATGAGGTGTGCACGTTTTGTCTAAACATTTGAGACGCAATAAAAAGCATCAGCATACAAGTGCATGGTCGTAATTGTATTCTGATGTTCCAGAAGGAGAGGCAGGCATGATAGGCTCTCGCCACCAATAATTCACGGTGAAGTGGTCTGTTTGGATTGGGGCTCGTTCTTTGGTGGGCACCAGGTCGCAGCGAATGAAGAATTAATGACATCAATGACAAAAATAGGCCAGAAAGGCATTGGCATCGGATGGTACGCCGGGTTGAGTTGTGGTCGCGGTCAGGAGGAACATGTCAGCGGAAGTCTTGCACAGCCAGCTCTGAGTAGCACTGTGGATACCTGTTCCCAGACACCACTTTTTGTAGGAAAGCTTTTAGAAATCCGATCATACACTTTCACTCGCCCAGAAATCTTTGAATACGGGGTCCACTAGATTTCCAATGGCTAAATGAGGTGTGCACGTTTTGTCTAAACATTTGAGACGCAATAAAAAGCATCAGCATACAAGTGCATGGTCGTAATTGTATTCTGATGTTCCAGAAGGAGAGGCAGGCATGATAGGCTCTCGCCACCAATAATTCACGGTGAAGTGGTCTGTTTGGATTGGGGCTCGTTCTTTGGTGGGCACCAGGTCGCTGAGCGGTTTTCACTTTTCCGGAAATTGGTACTGCAAAGCAGCAGTCTGTCATCGGCGCACATCTGAAGTAGATGGTTTCCGCTTCCTGTGTGTTTCGTATCCAACCCAAGACGATCACTTGATCGGACCTTATCAGCCGTTCGTTTCACCACCACCCACAACGATGTCTGACCCTTCAACCTGTCGTGAAACAGCACCTAGAGAGTCATCAAAGCTGTTTTTGTCAGATCCAGAGTTACGGTCCGTTGGGACATAAGCTGATGCAATAAACGCTGTTAGTCTAACCTCACTTCACTCATAGGCATCGCCTAACGACCAACGCAGAGACGACTATCAACAGGTATCCAAATTAAACAGAGACACTTCCGCTCTATCCCCTAATACAATACCCACGACGAAAGATCCACCTGCAGGGGTCTCTGCGAAGCGGAAACCGGGAAGAGAAAATTTCCAGTCCCAGTACTTGCGTCCTTTATCCTTGGTCCGTACAGACATAATACGCAATGCAGAGGGAATCCAGCGTACACGCATGAGTCACCTGTTTCCTGCTTGCTTTATTGTGCGAACAATAAAGGCGACTAATTGGACAGGTTTTCAGAGTTTTAAAACAAACTTCGAAGTGTTTAGGGTTGTTACCGAAGTTAGACCTGCAGAAGTCCGATCTACAGCGAAGAAAACCATCATTTTCGGTGCTCAGACTTGCGAAGAGAACATTCAAATTGTGGTGGCGTAGAGTAGGGTGGGCAATACGTTAAAATGTAAGAGAGGCGCCACCAGTGAAAGGAAAAAGGCCTTCCCTGCGGAGTTGTTTCTCAGGAAATGCCAACTGACCGGTTACAGACCATTGCACAGGGAAGCAAAACTCTCATTTGCATCTTATTTACAAAAACTAGACATCCATCTTCTCATGAACGCGTCTTCTTGAACGTTCCTGGATATTTATTGACTCCATTCATTCATCGGTCAAATCCAAATAAAGTGACTCCACAAATCCGCAACACACATCCATCTTCTCATGAACGCGTCTTCTTGAACGTTCCTGGATATTTATTGACTCCATTCATTCATCGGTCAAATCCAAATAAAGTGACTCCACAAATTCCGCAACAGATCTCCCCTTTTCAAACTACGCGAAGCGAAATTCCACGAACAACGCATACTGCTTGCGTGCCTCTCCTTCAGTAGTATCACCGTTACACCAGTAGCATGTTTTCACTTACACACTCTGCTATATGCAACAAAGTGGCCCAGCTGGTGAAAACTCACGACAACCGATGTGGCATGTGAATTTCGTCGATTGTGACTATCGTGATTGTTCATGGGCAGGGATTCCGCCAGGGGAGTCCAGACCTAGATACGATGACAATAAGAGTCCTTGAACAAAACCTTCTACACCACAACGCAGAGGTGTCCGGCAGGAGTTGTAGCTACAGAACGATCGGCCCACCAGTTTCAACCCCAAACCTGAAGGGCCAAGATACTGTTTTGATCAGACTTGTAAACACTGCCCAATCTGGAATGACAGACTGTAAGTTTTGCACGGGCATCATGCATTACAGCTCAATGGATCACGGAGGCGCCGTAAGGTGAAGTCGTTCCGTGATTGTAACACAGGACCTTATAGGGAATCAAATTTAATGGCGATCACCCTAAACACTCATCAGTAAGAAGTAGGTATGTCAAAACACATCCTAGGGGAGGGACGTTAGTTACGTGAATCAGAACCCAGTTGTAGCAGCATTCGCGCTGCACAAAATGACGGCACTCAGGACGTTATTGATTCATTTTCAAAGATGAATAAACAGACTGATTGCCTGACCAAGTATATGGAAGTTGGATTGTTTATATGGCATGATAAAGCTGGAACGAATAAATTCAGCTATTTTCTTTAAGTCGTCACCTGACTACTCACATTCAGAATAAAGTTTAGGTTACCCAACACATGTATGGAGCAGAAAAGCATCACAGTGAGT